CAAGGTTGTCTAACAATCTTTCCCAGGTCCTTTGGCATCTGTCCGATCTCTCAGTCAGACCTGTAATGCCTAGCAGAAAGGTTGATAAAGTCTTAGAAGTCATTCCTTCACTCCCTTTTGAAGCATTGCAAGCATCTGATTTTGTTAAGATGCCTAAAGAGCAATTGGAGGTAGTCCACAACCGAATATTAGCCATTTTAAATGGAAATACCAGCATCGGAGAGAAACAAAATGTGATTAGGTACCTTGAGATGTTGAGCATCAATGCTGATGCAGCTAATATCTTGACCAACGGGCCAATTTTGCTCATGCTTGTAAAATTGCTGCGTCAATCCAAGGCATCAGCTTTGCGTGTTCAACTTGCATCACTGATCGGTCTGTTGATTAGACACTCCACTTTTGTTGACGACAGTTTGGCTAATTCTGGAATTTTAGGTGCGTTGACTGATGGCCTTAGAGACAGGCAGGAAAAAGTAAGGAGGTTTTCCATGGCTGCTTTGGGTGAGTTGCTATTTTATATATCCACTCAAAATGCAGACTGCAGGGATAACAATCAACTTGAATCTCCATCAAAGGACAATAGGACTACATATGGCTGGCAGGTTAGCTTCCAAGCTTGTTGCCTATTATGTTGTTGTTAATCTGTCCAGGTCATTTGAAGCTTGACATATCTATTACTGGTATACAAAAATTTACACTTTCCTAATAAAGATGCTTGCAACATGGAAATAATATATTTTCCGTCAAATTCGTGTCATCATGTCAGCTGTTTTAACTTTGTTCGCCTGCTTTCTAAGTGCACATTTTCATGCTTAAAATATTTCCACCTGGCTGCAGGTTCCAAATTCGTTAATATCACTTGTGTCATCAATGCTGAGGAAGGGCGAGGATGATATAACTCAATTGTATGCACTGAGAACTATTGAGAATATCTGCAGTCAAGGAGGGTTCTGGGTGGGGCGATTGACCAGTCAAGATGTTTTTAGTAATCTCTGCTATATCTATAGGGCGGCAGGGAAACAAGAGACTATGAGACTCACTGCAGGATCATGTTTGGTGCGCCTTGTTCGTTTTAATCCTCCTAGCATTCAGTCCGTTATTGAGAAACTCTCATTCAAGGACCTAGCTTCTGCTCTTGTAAAGGGCAGTCCACGAGAGCAGCAAATCAGCTTAAATCTTCTTAACATGGCAATGCTTGGAAGTCACTTGTTCACAAATATTGGAAGATACCTTGTACAGCTTGCTGAGGATAAAAATCTGATCCCAAGTCTTTTAGCGCTTGTTGAGCAAGGCACTGAAGTTTTAAGAGGAAAGGCACTAGTTCTTGTAGCTCTCCTCTGTAAGCATGGAAGGAGGTGGCTTCCTCACTTCTTTTGTAGTCAAAAGTTACTTTCTGTAGTGGACAGGTTGGGAAAAGAGAAAGATGCCTATGTGAGGCAGTGTTTGGATGCATTTGTACATATTGTGGCATCCAGTATTCCAGGTTTATTGGATATAATAACAGGGGATGTACAGCAAATGATGGGAGCAAGGCGCCATGGACACATTTCTGCCCTTACTAGCAGATCTGCTCCAAAAACCAATATTCATTTATTTCCTGTTGTCCTTCATCTTCTTGGAACTTCAACTTTTAAGCACAAAGTCGTGACCCCACAAGTCTTTATGCAGTTGGCGAATCTAATTAAACTCATCGAGACACCATTTCAGGTACGTGATTCAAACAAGTTTTTTTTTTCCCTTAATTGAGTTGATTTTACGTAATTAAATATTTATCGTGTCTTATATTTTTATTAAATTACACCAAATGTCACTTAATAATTTAAAATGTTATTTATGAATTTTGAAATGGTGGAGCTACTATATTTCTTTTAAGTATAAAAATTATGCTGAGATATAGTCGCTATTGCTTTTTGATTAAGATTTTGATCATGAGAGTTCTAAGGATGATCGCTAAGAATAAATATTGATCATAAGGTAGTGTAAAGAGTTTAAGGCCAATAACTATTTTAGCATCTTCCTTAAAAAGTTAAATACAATAGTATTATCATAAATTTTAAAAGCAATTATTTGTTTCATTAAACAATTAACAAACGAATGAAATATTTTATACATGAAAAAAGAGAAATGTGTGATAATCGTATTTTCTTAGTTGAATAATTATTTGTTTGCACTGAGCGGGTATTAGTGTAATATACTGGTAGATGGAGTTTCATGTCAGATTTACGAAGTTAATGAAGAAATTTGTGAATAATTACTAATTATTGAATCTTAACTATTCGCATTTGGTAATTCACAACGCAAAATGTTCTTTTTGTTCTTACGTTAGGATGAAAATCGCCAATGAATATTTATTCTCCCTTAGTAGATATTACTTTTATTAAAGTTAGTTTCACTCCAGAATTTGTCTGTAGATAAATTTTGTGGCTCTTATTATCAATTTAGTCTGTTTTTCATTCCTTAAGGTTAAATATTTCCTCTTGGTCTGTTTTAATTTGAGTATAAATTGAAGATTTTATTTTACTTTTCAATATTTTTCCGGCTAAGTTGTAACTTAATTCAAATGAACGATGATGTTTGTGATTCATTGCCTACCTAATTTTCACAACTGTCTGGCTACTTAATCTCTCTTAAAGTGATGACAATTATTTCATTGATTTTCCCATCGACTCATGCTGTTATTAGTTGGATTAAATTGCATTTTCAGTAGAACTAGGTTGACTTTTAAGTAATATACTGACTTAATTGATTGCCTTTCAGGGAAGAGATGATTTCCAAATAACACTTCTTCGAATTTTCGAATCTCTCACAGAGGAATCTCCTATGATTCTTGGCAACGCTGACATTTTCATACGGGAAATACTCCCTAGTTTGACAGTTCTCTACAAGGGTAACAAGGATGGGGATGCAAGGTTTTTGTGCCTTAAAATTCTTTTTGATGTGATGATCATTCTTCTGAGTGAACCAATTGAAGAAGAGCAACGATTGAAGGATCTGAAATTCATATCAAATACCCGTTTTCTACCTCTCTACCCAACCTTGATTGAAGATGAAGATCCTATTCCTATTTATGCACAGAAGCTTCTTGTCATGCTACTGGAGTTCAGTTTTATTACAATTCCAGACATTCTACATTTGAAGACAATTTCACAATGCTTTGAGTTCTTGCTTGGTGATCTCTCAAATGCAAATGTGAATAATGTTAAGCTGTGTCTTGCTCTAGCATCTGCTCCTGAGATGGAGTCCAAATTACTCTCTCATTTAAAGGTGGTTAGGAAGATTGGCAACTTTCTTGAGTTTGTACATGCAAAGGGTATGGAAGATTTGCTGGAACCAACTCTTGGGCTGTGTAGGGCTTTTCTAGCACGTTCAGTCGGCTGTACAAAAGGCTTGAGCAACACAAAAGAACCAACTCTCTTAGGTGACTGTCCTCCCGGATTGTGTGGTGGTGCTGTTGATCCCCAGCAATGCATAAAAGACATTGCAGACTTTGGAAGCAATTTTGGTGTCTTGCTAGAGTTGAGTGCCTCTGCAGAAACCAGTATTGCTGATGTAGCTTCTGAATGTGTTGTTTTACTGTTCAGGGTAGCTCCTAGAGAAGCCACCACTGGTATACTAACCAATCTCCCCAAGGTCACTGTGGTCCTAGAGAGCTGGAATAGAGGCATTCCTCACTTGATAGTGCAGCGAATGCTTCATTCTTTAGGTTATGCTTGCAAACAATACTTACTGCACGCAATGATATTATCAATATCTAAACCGGAGATTTCAAGAATTGAAGTTATAGTTTCTGAACTCAAAAGTTCAGGTGTACCAGCCTTAGCCAAAACCGCTGGGCTAGCAGCCTTGGAATTGCAGCGGTTGCCTCGCTGCATTTGAATAATTGTAGTCATCATTTTCTTCTGTTCCCTCTCATCAGAATCTGTAACTTTCTAGTTCATTGTTTACCCTTTATATTTCAAGCCTTATTAAATTCCGGATAAAGGTTGAGCAATTCGGTGAATTCCACTCAGTCTTCACTGTATTCTATGTAAAGTATGTGTACTCTGTATCTCCGTGAACATTAAAATATAAGTCAACGACAATTTTCCTTAGTTTTTTCCATAATTATTAGGTTAGAATTTTTCTCTCCGTTTCATGAATTAAGGTATTAGACACAAGTATGAAATTGCCTAAAATTCACCAAGTAAACTGCATGACTATGATTGAGATTCCTTGGTGATGGGTACCGTGGTAACGTATTGTACAAAAGTATGAAATTAAACAGTAAAATGTAATTGCATGAATCTGATTGAGATTCCTATTTGATAGGTACCAAGGCACACAAGCTTCCAAAGACAGAAAGATTGTCAGCTATGTATGAAGGCATATTTAAATAATCCTCAAGCAACAAAAAAGTCCAGCCTAGCCTCCTTTATGCTTCTAGGAATGTTCGTCACGAGACAACCTCACGTTAAAAAAATGACATTACCATGCAACATGACACATGAATACAGGTGATCATACATCCCCTTCTGTAATGGAATACGCAACAAATTTTGAATCATTCTGGTTCTTTCTATTTGTTTGCAGGGTATTTTTAAATCACCCTTGAAAGATGAAGCACTATGATTGTGAAATTTGTAAAGCAATACTACGGTCAGTTTTCCTGTTTGCTATGATTATCAAATTAGCTTTAAGGATCAACAGAAAATGAAGAGCTGTAGTGCACCAAATATCACGGGCGGAAAAGGATTCTCTCTCACCAAACGCATCACATGGAAACCTTTCTCAATCTTTGTCTCTTCCTCAAGGTAAAAGACCATGTTCCCTTCTCACCATCCAACAGAATCTTGCCACGTGGTACAATTTGTCCCACCTAGTCTTAGGTAGGAGGTGAGTGAGAGATGGGGGAACCTGCAGAGCTTTGGGGCCTGACGATTTAAAAGCCTCCTCCCTCAAAAATCCTTACACAATCATATCCATTTTAAGACATTGCAAGTTGGATATCCTTCACCTTCAGAATGGCATTACGGAATGTTTATCTAACCCTCATGGTCATCTTGACTTTCATGCCCTCACCGCTGCATTCATCATATTCACAGCCTATTCCTGAAGTTCCCACACTCTCATCTTCACCAGCAACACTAACAGATCCTCCTCCATCTTCACTATCCCCTTTCCAAGAATTGTCCCCAGACATTGCTCCACTGTTGCCTTCACCTGGCGGCGTGTTGCCAACTCCTTCTGGCTCTGACATTCCCACCATTCCTTCCAATCCAAGCCCTCCAAACCCAGATGACTTAATAGCTCCTGGACCTCTTTCTGCTCTTTCACCATTTGGATCAATGCAGGCTTCCTCCAATGCCCCTAGAAGAAGTGTAGTTGGTAGTGTAGCCACAGTTGTTTTTGCAGGTTTCGCAGTATACTGGTCTTTGCACTGTACGAGAGTATGAGTTATTTTGACTTTATGTTAATTTTTAATTCTTACCTTGTAGTATATGAATAAATAATAAATCCTGTTTCTTCTTTGATTGGCTTGGGAATAATTCCCCAACAGTATCAAATTAAATCTTGTTCTTGATTCTACCCAGTCGTAATCATGGAGGTTACCTTTTTTTTTAGTTAGATTTGTTTGTTTTTCCATTATGTTAAATGATCCTTTACCCTTCCAATCAGAGGCCCATGATTGAACTTTTTGAGAGCCTTTTTGCCATTCCAGCTTCACTATATAGCTGGAACCCTTGTTCAGATGGAACATGTAAGATTGAATATGAAGAATAATTAAAATCGTATTTAATTATTTTATTAATTTAAACTAAATGTTAAATTTACATATAAAAATAAAAATATTAAAAACATATTTTTAAGAGCTGGAGACCAAATTAATCCATTTAAAAATATAAGAATAAAAAACAAATTTGTGAAAGTTACCAAAAAACATACCTACTTTTTTTAATTTAATTATGGTTTTGATTAAAGAAGGAAAAGAATATAATTTTTTTAAATTGATTTAGATAAAGGTAGTAAACATGAGTAACAAAACACTCTAGAATATATATTATTATGAGTGTTTTAATAATCATTATTATATAAAGAAAAATTCTTGTTATTTATGGATGTAGATAGGAACCATGGGTGTCAGTTTATCAGCACTACTATTACACTCTTTTTTAAAGAAATAATATAGGTAACAATATAGTAAATGAATTTTATATAGTTATATGATTAATATGATGTTGTTTATAGTTATACGATTCATTATAATTTTAAGTACTTTTTTCTCATTATTATTAAATTTTTGTTTTTCAATTCATTTTCAGTATTATTTTTAGTATAAATTTGATTTTTATTTTTTTAAAAGTGAATCAATGAAATCCCTCCATTTAAACTGTTTAATGAAAAATGTTACACGATTTTGCTATGGCGTTGAGATTGAGAAATGACACATAAATCCGTCATGCTGGATGAGTAAGCGTAGTTATATCAATATTTCGTATATTTTCGTTAGACATTTAATGTATTTGTCACAAGAAAATTATTAATTCACTTTAGTAAGACTAAATTAAAAATATATATAAAAAATAATAGGATCAATTGAAAAAAAGAAAAAATTTAGAAGAGGAATATAATATATCAATGGAGATAATTCCGGAATAAGAATCTATCATCATATTAAAGTATTATCCACTTTTATTTTTAAGAGGTATTCTGACAAGGTATGAGATGAAAATGTTTATAAGTTTCTTTCGTCTCCATTCTTAAGTTGTGTGAAGCATTTATGTTTTATGCAAATTTTTAAAAGTTAATACCAAATGTGCAATACGTTCCTTAGAAAATGAGGGTATTCGTTATTCTGGTTGCACAAAAACTTGTTGACATTGTGTTATTTATTATTATATAGAATAAGACCTTTCATACATGTATATTTACATAATATAAAGAAATGCATGTACATGACCTTTATTAGAAAAAGTATGTTAAGTATGCTGATATCAAAACTATTGACCACTTTCAATGTTTGGGAAATATTCTTAGATTGTTCTCATATTAGAGTTAATTTTAGTAATCTTTTTATGTGTTTATATTTTTCTTTATTTATTATTTTAACAGGGATGCAATTTATTTGTAGTTTATGAGGCTTAAGAGAATTAGGACTTTTGTAAAATGAAGTAATTGACATAACTTGATGGACGTGATTTTGACGTCGAATTTCATTCAAAGGGACAAAAATGGCACTAAATAAAATTAAAGCTATTATTAGAGTAATCCCGATACAATCCAGCAAAGATATTGCAGCTACTTGAAGAACAATGAAAGCGTGATACCAAAGATAAAAACTAAAACATGTAAAGCAAAAAATCCCAAATGGATACACATGTCCTCTTCACTAGTTTAAGCCTTGCTTTCAAGAAGCTGATCAATCATATCAGCTGCATCTTGAACGGTGGTGATGCTCTGGGCGCTGTCTTCTTCCACAGTGATACCAAATTCCTCCTCAAGTCCCATCACAATCTCAACCTGCGCAGATTTGAAAAGCAAGTATCATTAAGTAAAATGTTATCCAACTTAAACCACGGATACTGTGTTTTGATGTGTCACACAAAAACATAGTTTATCAATGACATGTGAGGACAACTTCAGGCATTTTATCATTAACAGTAAACAAAGTGCTCCCCACATTTCCAGTAATTACGGTGGCGTAACTACTGAGTAGCCACTACTCACCACCTAAAAGAGAATGATATTCATACACATCGTGAAATGTCAAAAAACATGTTGTGATAAAATATGTAGGCCCATATACCATTACAGAGAAAGAGAACGAAAAAATAAATAAAAGCATTGACATGAGAGAATAAGATCTCAAAAAGACACGCTTATAGTTCAAGTAACAAACAGGTGATAGATGCAGTCAATTGTAGACAATACTAATAAATTTATATATTTATAATCAACAATTTGATTTCAGATAGTGGCTTTATACCGCGAAAACGATGCATAGATAAATAGATCAATGTGAAAATACCGTGTCAAGAGAATCAGCTCCAAGTGCAGCAAATTTAGACTCTCCTGTAACAATTGCATCCCCTGACAGTGCCAATTGCTTCTTGACTATGTCACACACCTTCTTTACTGTTTCTGGTTTTGCCTGCATGACAAAAAGTTTTGATGATTATATAATCTCCATATTACAAAAGTTCGTGCCAAATAAGCCAAAACCTTTTTATGGATATCTGTAATTTTAAGCACATAATAAGAAATTACGAGCAAAAAGCAACATAGATAATTCAATATTGAAGATATTCTGTGATAATTAACGACATAACAACAGCATGTGTGACAAAGAATAGTTTAGTACAAGATTAAGTTTCAATAGCAGAAGAAGCTAAGGATGAAACCTGAATTCTCCACAATCCAAAACTTGCTTAAGCATTTAGAATATAAAACAAAAGATTGAGAAGCCAGAGTAAATCAAGGCAAATGATTCCATTGCTGAGGTAATGGTAAAATATGGGCTTTTGGTTGCAAATCTTACCGCACATCTAAATTGAAATCGACGTCCTCTGGGCTGCAATGTAATGGATGGGAAACTTCTCCCCTTGATTGAAAAAGAAACCGAACTTGGGCTGGAGATCCGAGTGCTACAGACCTGTTTTTAAACAACAACAATAACTGAATGAATCCAAGCAATATAATATAATTAGAAGAAACCATAATGTATTGCGCAAGACCAGCTTAGTTTTTAGCATAAAGCAAAAAAATAATGAAGTCAATTACAAATTCAATATGTCGCTACCATGTACAACTGAAACTCATAAGCAATGAAATACTTTATTTCTAAGGGCAGATTGGGTTGTTGCAGGACATAAACTAAGAAAAATGATCAAGAAGATATTTTAAGACAAAACAAATTAAAAAATCATAAAAGCAGCAGGACGGTAGCATAACATTGCTTTAACATGTATGAGTTAGTCCTCTTAAACAAGGTTATTCTGAATGAGAAAAACATAGTTAGGAAAGGAAAACCTATTAAAAATACCAAAGCCAGCAGATAATTCGTACTAATAGAATGCTTATAAATAAATAAACCCCGTTTTAAAGTGAGGTGATTCTGCAAAATCGAGTACAATCAAGAGTGTTCATTTGCAAAAATAAAAGGGCTGAAACTGGTTTTGAAGTGAAGTGATCCTTGGATGTTTTTATACTAAGTGCAACTTTATGAAACAAAAATAATGGTAGAAATTGGTTTTGAGAAGTGAAATGATCTTTGGATGTTTTTATACTAAGTACAACTTTAGAAGTAAAACTTGATATAAATTTTTTGATCCAACACAAAGTTACCAAACAAAATCAGTTAATAAATTGATAAAACAAACATCTAAACATTTACCTGAGATCACTTTACATGATATTTCAACATGATAAAAACAAATCTTCAATTGAAATAAAGCATAGCAAAAAATTCAAGATCAAGAGCGCTTAGGTAGCTGCTAGAAATCCTGTATACTTGCATAAAAAATAGAAAAAAATAAAAAATAAAAGGCAGTGTGCTGAAGGAAAATAAGAGTCGGACCACCCTTCAATTCGAAGTTCAATCGACAAGAAAAATCGTGTATGAATTCTCAAGGTGATGAAAACACTATTTTATTATAACAATGTATCACCCAAAAAATGAAGGCATGCAAACGCAATTGATACCACATTAACACAAGTGAAACAAACAGAAACAATACATCATTAGTCGATTAATCAAATTGATACAATACACCAAGTGAAATAAAAAGAGGAGAGATTTGAATCTTGATAGACATATATACCACAGCTTGATTGGAAACGGAGGCGAGGGACATGGAAGATTGCGTGATGGAAGCCATTTGAGAGACTGAGAGAGAGATCTAGATCGAAGGACGGAGATTACAAAGTGCGAAAGATTGTTCTTGCGTCTGAAACCGTTGAAGAAAGTAACAGTGTGAGTGTGTATTTATAAGAAAAGCATTGTTAACTGTGCTGGCTCAATCCTCGCTTCGTTACTTTCGAGGAGCGGCACGTGGGAGCTTTAAGAACATGTTTGTTTGCGTCCTATTCTTCCTTCTTCTCCATTCAATCTAGATTTCCTTTTTCTTTGTTTGGTTCACCAACCAAACATTCATTACATATTTTCTCTATAATTTTTAACCCTACTTTATCATCCAATCTCCTTTTAAGTCTATATTAGTTATAAAAAATTATTAATTTTTTTATTATTTTACATCATATTAAATCAATATTTATTTTAATTTTATATTTTTAAGAAATTTCAATTAATAAAATAATAATAAATATCCCTTATTTCTCTCTTCTATAAGGTTTTTAGAAAGAAGTTCTCTTCAACCGCAACTCAATAAATTAGAAAGTTAGAACCAGAAAATTTCCATGTTATAATAACTTAAATGTTGTTATCAACCGGATGTGTAATGGGTGAAAACGAAAGTGACAAAAATATCTAATTTGTATCGTGATTTCCATTTTTCATGCTTGAAATCCTCGTAGGGTTCATCTATTATCATCCTTTGCTTTTTTAAGGTTCAAACCAAAACAATAATATTTGTTAGAACATTGAGTGACCGTTCTTGTAACAATTGAGCCTTTGTTCAATTTTATATTTTACCTTTTTCGCCATGACACGGCACAACGTTAAAATATTATTCATGCTATAAAATAATTTTTTTATTAGGTTTCCAAATCACATCGTTTTATTTTAATAAACTACGCTTTAATTATTCTATTTCTCAGCAAACACTGCACATACTGCATGACAAAAATGCATGAATTTGTAATTATATGAAAAATGATTATTTGTTTTGCTTCATGAAGAGAGAAAAATATTAAAAAAAATCATGTAATGTTTTTAAAAATATTTTAGTATTAACTTTACCTTTTAAAAATTTTAAATTATCAAATATTTTTTCATGAAACATGTTATGACAAATGCTGAAAATGACATTTGATGGAACAGTTTGACATTAATTTTGGAACCATCGTCCTGACTATGATCCATCCGCACCTATCTGTCAATGCCAAACTAATTGGAGTGTATTACGAAAATAATTTCACTTTATATAATTCACATATTTTAAATACATCTCAACAAATATAATTATTAGTTTTAAGTGTTTTTTTGTAATACTTTTAGGTTGGTTTTATTAAGAATTGTTAGATACATAAATTTAGTTGAATAATTTTTGCACAAGTTTCTAATTATTATTATTGTTATGAGTGATGGAATTTATATTGATCTTAAAATTGTCTTCCATTTATAATATTGTGATAGATTTATATATTTGGAAGCTATTAAAGTAAGTGTTAATTGATGTAATTAAATTAACTATTTATTTAAATTTTGATTATAAACATTCTTTTAGATCTTTTTAAAATCGAATATTAATTTATCGATATTTTATCGAAATATCTTGTAACTCCAAATGAGATATATAAAAATAAATAAATTAAGTGAGTTTAACTCGAACAAACGAGTTAAGTAACGTGCGTAGATATTAATCCAATAATATATTTTTTGTAATCATAAATAATTTTTATTCGGTTTAATTGTTCAACAACAATCATACCGTAATCAAATGTTGATTCAGTCATATTAAATTAGTAATTATAACTACTTTAATATTAACTAACGTTTACAAAATTATTATTATTTAATTAAAATTGATCGGGTTGTAGAAATTATTTTGACAATTAGATCAGATCTAGTTGAACGGATTCAATACTTTAAAATAATCATATTTTCATTAAATTAAAATAAAACTGATAAAATCGATTATATTTTTAAATGAAATTGATTTTAGTGAAAAAAAATATTTAAAATAAACAAATTTAATATATATTTTTTATAAAATATATATATATATATATATATATATATTTTATTTCTTATTAATCAACTTTAAATAATAATTATTTTATATATTTTTATTTTAATAATTATTTTTTATTTTTTAATATATTTTATATTTATAATATTTTGCATATAATAATTTTTATTATTTTTAATTTTTAATAATAAATTATTCCAAATAAATTTATTATATATTATTTTATTGAATCTAAATTCTACTTAAACCGGAGACAATACTTCCATCAGTTTGATCAGATTTTAAAAACATAGAACCGTTCATGCGTCAACAGTTGAGTAATTTTCTACAATATACATTGTAAAAATTTTCATGGAGAAACCATTGTTTCATCCGTCAGTGATAACAGATATCAAAATTGTATTCTTACATTTCTCTGAAAAGTAAACATACGAAAAATTTTGTAATTATTTAATTATATAATTTTAATTATTATTTTTATTTTAAATATAATAAGTATAATTTTCATTTAATTTAAAAATAATTTTTCTTAAATAAATAAGTATACTTTTGTTTTATTCATTCTTTTTTTGTTCTCGTACTTTCTTAGTTGTATTAGTGTTTCCTGATTAATAAAACAAAAAATTCCGACCAAACAAAAACTCCGACCAAGTGAGCATGGGCTTTTCCTAAATCCAGAACATCTGTGCCTATAACCTCCTCGTATGCACCGTCCACTACTGCTGTGTTAATAACAATCCACACCTACCATGGCCCATTTGCTGTTTCATCAACAGCAACCACTGTCAAAACTACGACACAACACAACCATTGTTGCCAAATTAAAAATGAATGAATGGTTGAGGTTGGATACAGACATCAGGATTTGGGCATTAGAAAATTTCTAGTACACGTATCCTTATAAAAAAGTGACATTAGAAAAGTTAATTCAAAGGTAAAAGTTCATACAAAATATTCATTACTTGATCCATTTTAATTGAGATTTTAACACACAAAGCAATAATAGTTCATGATTTGCAGCTTTCGTCCCCATTTTTCGACCCTACCATTTTCCAATCACCAAAAGAAAAGTGATGACGATAAAAAAAAAAAGAAAGATGAGGATAGAGATAAAAAGTTAACACTTTTAAACATTAGACTTACTTTTCTCAATTCTTAATTTAAAATGATCACCACTACAAAATAAACACCTAATTCAAGAGGTTGGCATTGAAAATTTGAAAAAAAAGAGAAAAGAGAGAAGAGAGAAGAGTGAGAAGTTGGGGGAGTAGGAAAAAAAAAAAAAAAAGGAATGGAGGGTAAGTTACAAGCAGTGTGTCGCAGTCCCACACAGTCCCTCCCACCCCACCCCACCCCACGCAACTAACACAACACAACACCAATGCAATGCTATGCTATGCTATGTCTCCTTTTCCAATTCTCACTTTCTCTTTCTTAAACACTCTCCTCAACATTCTCATCCTGCATCCTTCAAATGGCCACGGAGCTTCTGGAAATCGATCCTCCTCACCTCACTTTTCTCTGTAAGTTTTCGTTTCTTTCTCCACCACTCCTCTCTCCCTCTCGTTCCCCTTCCTCACTCTCTCTCTCTCTCTCTCTCTCTCTCAGTTGAATTGAAGAAACAGAGTTCCTGCGTGGTTCGTCTCGCCAACAAGGCTTCTCACCATGTTGCCTACAAGGTCAAAACGACGTCGCCCAAGAAATACTGCGTAAGGCCAACCGTCGGCATCGTCGAACCGCACGGAACATGTGATTTCACCGGTACCTGCGCTTCTGTTACTTTTCAATTTCCATAACCTGTTACGGTTAATTATTAACGTTGTTCCTTTGTTCCTATGTTGTTTCTTTGGTTGGAGGTAGTTACTATGCAGGCTCAGCGCTCAGCCCCACCAGATTTGAACTGCAAAGACAAGTTCCTCGTTCAAAGCGCGGTTGTCCCCTTCGGAACAACCGAGGATGACATCTCCTCTGACCTCGTCAGTCATGTTTATTACTTCATGTTATTCAACTTGTCTTCTTTGTGTTGTGGTTTAGTTACATTAATTCCTCCCCTCTTCGATTTCACAGTTTGCGAAGGACAGTGGAAGGCTTGTCGAGGAGAAGAAACTAAGGGTGGTCCTCATTACCCCATCTTCTTCCCCCGAAAATGGAGATTTGAACCAAGATCCACCAATCCAAATGCCTTCCCCTCTTACAGTAAGTCTCTCCCACTTATATATCACTCTGATTCGTGAAAATTAGTTCATGGTCTTCGATCACTAGCCTTTTATATTTCCGACTTATTTTTGTGTGATATGTAACTGAGTTTTTCAATTTAAAGAATAAAAGAGTAAACAAAATTTGATTATACGTCCGTGAAGATTGTTTTGGACTATGGTAATTCTAAATCATGTAATAATCTACTGAATTTATTACATGTTTTGACTAATCTTTATATGATATGCATTTCAATTTTTTAATTAAATGTTAAAAAGAGATTGTCTGAGACCAATAATTTCTCGTGAAAGAGGAACATTGCTCTCACATTGTTCTCCTTTTATCAGGTTGAAAAAAGTTTGGAAGTGGCTCAGAGTACTGAGGAGGATGGAACGGATAAGGATACTGTTCCAAGACTAGTTGAGAAGGTGGGGGACATGAAGCAAGTAAATGATGTTGAGAAATTGAGTTTTCCTAAGGATTCCAAGGAATTGAAGTCAAGGTTGAGTATAATGGATGCAAAGCTAAGAGAGGTTAGCCATAAGTACTTCTTAACTTAGATTAGCAGTTATCTCACGGTTACTTTCAATTTAAGTTTCATGTTCCGTTGGTTAGTTAGGTATAGTTTAACAATAATAAAATATTCTCACAATATTGCTGCTAGTGACAAATATTTGAATTTTGAATTTGAATTGGGCTACTTTGTTACAAAAGATAAGAGTTAAATAATGAGATAATATAAAAGTAACTACTTTCCAAATTTCAACTGACATAAACTTTTTCCTTTATTGAAAAAAAATCTTAGAGCATGAAGTTATATTATCTTTGTAGGCCGAAGGAACGATCGTGAAGTTGAATGAAGAGAGGCGAATGAACATCCGAGAAAAGAATTTGCTCAAACAAGAGTTGGTAGGTATTTTATTTTATTTGCATTTCCATCCTAATAAAATATTAAAACTTGATGAATTCCATTTTTCATGAGTCGGTAGGTACGACCAGTTTTTTATATTTTGCACCCTTTTCGATGTTCTTTGTTAGGAGATGTTGAAGAAGAAGATCAAAATTAAAAGAGCTCAGGAGGGTTTCCCGTTTTTGTTTGTGTGCGTGGTTTCGCTTGTCAGTTTGGCAGTGGGATATTGTATTCATCCATAAGGAGGGAAATTGTGTATAATGGTCGAGGTTCCAAAATAATGGTGTTCTCCTTGATACTTTGGTAGAGAACTATTCCTTGTTAATTGTGATGGTTGTTTTGTACTCAACCAATGTTAATATGTGATACGTGGGAACATTTCTGAAACGCGTGTGAAATGAACTACACCTCTTAAGAGAAGAAGCATAATATGCGGCTCTGATATTTGGAATCAAAATCAGAGACCAAAGCGAGGTCATTTTCCCAATATTATGTTCACCATATTCTGGTTACCTTCAGTGAACAGTTTGGTTATCAGTGGAAGGGCGAGTAAGATTTAACGAAGGTGAGAGGAGAGAAAGATACTATACTACTGATATATTGTAGTTTTAACTGATGTAAAATTTAAAAATAAATTTTAAAATAGAGACATGATTAAAACTAAAGCAAGGGTGTACTGGTTGTGTTTAACGATTGGTTAAAATATCTTGGGCCAACATTTGGATTGGTATTCTTTTAGTACCAGATTAGATTTTAGTTTGTGTACTGCATAATACAAGTGTTTGGTTATTTTTTAGTTAAAATTCAGTGAGTATTTATGAATATATAAGTTACATTGTTATTCAAATTTATAATAAATAAATATTTTAATATATAAATCAAATTTACAGCAAACAATTCGCTGGAGCAAACAATTCTCCAATTTCTCGTATGTTTTCCTTTGTAGTAAAATCAACATCATGTATTATATTATCTTTTTAAATCATGTAATATATATATATATATATATATATATATATATATAATAAAGTATAATTATTTAAAAACTATAAAATAAAAACTAGCCACCTTAAACTATTTTGTTTAAAGACCTTTTTCTCACGTCCTCCCGTTGAGGGATTAAATTCGTTTATTTGTTTGATTTTGAATCTTCAAGGATTATGTGCTGATTGGATTTTTTTAGGTTTGACTTTAGGTGTTTGATTGCCTCTGCGACATTTTTTTTCCGGTATCGTTTGTGTTTTTATGTTATTATAGAAAGAGGGACGAGCGCTTTTAAATAACATGCTACTAAAATTTGTCTTCATATGAATTTCACGTTAAAAAAGTATAAAGAAAAAAGTATTTTTTTGTTTGCTATAAAAAAAATGTACTGTTTTATGTTTTATTTTTAACCGTTATTAAATTAAAATTATTAATAACTTTAATTGTAAATAGAAGAAAATATTTTTGTTTACTCATTTAAACCTATGTAAAAAGACAGAATGTGTTTTTTTTTTCATCAAAGAGTAAAAATAAATCTTAAAACGAAATAAACTATTAAACTTTTTTTTTTTTTAAAGAAAGAAAAAGAAAGAAAGTGACGATACAGTAGAGTTACAGTGTGGTGCAGAAGAAGGCGTTAAGCAAAACGCATTCCCAAGCACCCCTGAACGCGCTTCTTCAAACCTCTTCCTATTTTTGCTTCTCCCTCTTCTCCTTCTCCCCGCAGAGAAGAGAAGGGGAGAAGAACCCAAACATATTCTCCACCAATATTCCCCAAAACTATCAAACAAGGTAAATTCTATTCTTTTCCTTCTCTGTCTTCTAGGGTTTCTTTTCCGCCATTGCCAACCTCATCACCATCTCTCACTTACCATTCTCTACATGCATTGCTCTCTCATCCTCTCCACTCCTCAATTTTATCCGATTCCCTAATTTCTTCCTCTCTTTTTAGGCTTCTCATCGCTCTCCAACCGATTCCGCCATTTCTCGCTTCCAGGTAAGCTTCTTCACCTTTTGCGATCTATTCCTATGTTTCGCGAATGCCTGCTTCTCCTCTTTTCACCCTTTCTTCATTGCTATCTTTCGCGTTCCCTATTCGCCATTCCTTTTGCTGTTCATCCCGATTCGTTTGCTTGTCGCGTCAAATTTGTGTTGCTCTTAGATTGATGATTATTCCACGATCATCGGTTTTGCAGGTGCATTGGTTTTTCCTCTCAATGGTATGTTCCCCGGGAAGTGGGAGAATGGAGGTCATCGCAAGGCTTCTCGCTGGTGGGAGCTTCTCTCAGACTGTAGCAGGTATTGGGAGACCCTACCTTTCAGATTTTCTTACTCTTAGTGCCTATTAGGTGCATGTTATGCCTGACACTGTTTACTGGATTTAGGTTATCCTATTGTATATTTAATATAATATTATACCTCAGAACAAATAGCTGTTTTAATTTATAGAATAAACTAGTACAAGAAGTGTCTGCATTTAAGTTTTTTGGGATTTGGGGTATACAAAAAGTTTAAGAAGTTAAAAGAAGAAAAAATTGATAGCAGTTTGCAGAAGTCACATAGTTAGAAAATAAATAAGTGGGAAAATAATCTGATGAGGGATGTCTTAGTGGTTTCTGGAAGTTACAAAGTAGAGCTAAAGGGTAAATTGGAAAAAAAAAAATCAGTTGATGGGTACAAATGTCTAAAATAATTTTTTACACAAAAACATGTATACCCTTTCCCTTTGTTACTTAATTAAGAGATTATAGATAGTATATTCACCGACAATGTCATTTTCTTTTTTATATTATTATCTATTTACAGAGCTATATTTTACTTTTATTATAAATATCTTGAAAGTTATACTTACCATGACTTCTGATTAATTGATAGTGTAATTTACACCGACAATGAATGCCAATTAAACTCTTTAATTTATGCATTTTCCTTTCATTTCCAATATCTGATTGAACCTTATTTCTCTGTCCTTGGCGTGCAAGACGATTTTGCCCATCAGAAGTCGGCTGCTGAGTATATTTGCAGAGAACTACATGAGGCAGACGAAGCAAATTTGCTTCACGAAGAAGGTTGTTTGAATTGTTTTGGTTTGTGGAACAACCTTTTTTGTTATTCCAATGTGGGAATATTCCTTGCTAGATAGTAATGTATCGTTTTCAAAATATATTTAGTTCAATGTGATTTAGTTTGTACTTATTTTTAATTGGTAGAAGGATGAAAGGTAATGACTGTCACATACTGAAAATCAATAAGGCTTTTCAGAAGAAGAAAATAAGAAGGTAAAATGAACCGAGTCTCTCTTATAAGTTATTTTATAAGCTTTTAAAGAAGGTAAAATGAAAGAACTTCTACAATATGTAAGCTAATTTTAATTTATGGTTTTTTAATATTCTTGTTTATAAGTTTTCATTGAGAATTTTATCTTATCAGAGTCTAAATGTAAATATTTTCTTTTAGCGGCACGGGGGACAGGGGCTTCGTCAATGTTGAACTATGTATGATGGTGGAAGGGACATGTATTTTGAGGATTTTTATGTTTTGTGTCTAGCTTTCTGTTATTATCTTGAGTTTTATGAGTATAATTCCTAATTCGTGCTCCTTTGCCAGTTTTTTGGTCTGGGTACACTTTTCATTTTCTTTCGGGGATTTTTAAAATGCTTCTTCACATATATCACAGATATGCATATCTATGGTGAGAGCCCCATGACTGATGCCTTGCAGCTGGTAAGGTTTGCCTCATGTTTCTACTTTATCTTGTCTGCTAGTGGACTGACTAGTATTTGCGTGCTTCTTCCCAAGTATCTGACATGAAACATTCATGTGGTTTCTTTATTGGTATAGCCTGTTATTATATGGTTTCATTTGTGGATATTATATGTAATAATATTTATAACTTGTTATTGCTTTCTATAATTTAGGATACCTGAAGTTTGGAAACAATAATTGTTGCTTCTTTTAATTACTTACATATCACCGGGATGGCACACAGTAGCCCATCTGACACAGATTGGAAACAGTTTATGCATTTTATACCAACTTTCTAAATAACAGAATTGATTTAGATTAGATGTTATAACTTGTAAATATTTTCATCTGCTGGCATTAACTTTTTAAAATATCTTCTAGAGAAATTCATATAACTGATTGCTTTATATCCTTTTTGAGGTATGCTGCAACACTTGCAAGAAGCCAATTAAGGACAGTCAATTTGCTGCTCATGCAGGTTTGGTGGCTTCTTTTGTTTTTGTAATAAAACTTTCGGTTGTTTTTTTTGTATGTGAGGCTTTTAAAATTATTCAGTTACACATGGACCTGCAAATGTTGCTAGCTAGTTACTACCAGGTTCTTTTATGTCCCCCTTGGGTTTACTAAGTTACTAATATTGAACCTTGATTCCCCACCCCTCCCCATATTTTCAGAATTATGTAGGTCATTAAAGCTCACAGAACAAACTACGTTGGAGCTTGATGGCAGCACTGGTTATCGAAAACCTCCTAGGAAGGAAAAGAAAAAGTTAGCTGCTTCTTGTGCAAGTATCCTTAAAATATAATTAATTAATCAGTTGCAAATACATTTTGGTTACTATACTATATTAGTATAACTTAATTTAGTATTCAGTAGTTTAACCTTTTGAGTTTTCTAATGATGCTACACAATCATGTTTTTTGAAAGGATTAAATATAATTTTTTCCTATAAAATTAGCAAATTTTGATTTTGGCCCCTATACTTTTATTTCTTTATTTTTCATCCCTATAAAATTTGGAATCACTCTTTTTAATTATTGAAAAATGTGGGAATTTTGATTTTAGTTCATGTAAAATGTTTTCTTTGGTTTTTATCCCTCCAAAAGTTAAAATCAGTGTTTTTAGCCCCTAATATTTATTTTAAGATGAATGAATAATATTTATTTTACGGATATTAAGAGTTTTTTCAAAATGACACTTGGCCACATTATATTACAGTACTAGTATGCATCACTTGGAATAGTCATTTAACCTCTTATTTAACACATAAAGAGTTAATTAGTGTCGTAATGGCAAGGATCAAAAGTGGTAATTTTCAATCTTAGAGGGGGACCAAACACAAAAAAATGTCATCGGGACCAAAAACAAACTCACTCATTTTTTGAAGGACTTGAAAGAAATTTAAGGTTTTTTTGAAAATTGTATTTTGGATTTCTTCAGTAAATTTCCACTTTTAAGGGAGTCCTTTAGTTTTTCTGAATACATTCTAATGATAGGCTTTGGTAACATTATTTTTTGTGCCTCATAACCCCTTATAGACCACGCTTCAGCAGTTGGGGGACAAAGAAGGTCTGAGTCTCTGGATAATATTGACTCAAATTTGTCACAATCCCACCTGAATAGTCAAATCAGAGTGACTCCCTTTACCAACAAGGTTAGAGGTAAAAGCCCGGTTTTTTTTTTTTTTTTTAAGTTTCTCTTTCAATGTTGGTTGCATTCCCGCTCAGAAGTTGATGTATGTTTTTGTAAACTCCATTTTACGAAGATTGCTGCTCGAATCTATTTTGCCGTTTTTGTCAAGATTGAATCTATTTTTCAATTATCATCTGTTCAACAAATAAGGATATCTTGGTGTTAAACTTATGTTATTTTGCCATTTCTATCACTAGTGTTGTTGACTTTCACTCTAACCTTCAACAACCAGATATCGTTGGCTGTGTCTTTGCAACTATTTTATGGAACTAAAATTTATCCCTCTCTCACCATTTTACTTGTGACCGTGGGAGATTATGTTTTATCTTTTTTTATTTTTCATTGGCTTACAGGTTTAGTTCAAAATCTCTAATCGTGTTGCTTAAAATATATTGATTTGAAATATTTAATACAATGTTGATTGATGATATTTTAGACCTTAATTTCTTATGTTACGATAGATTTGATCTGTCTACATAATTTATTGGGAGCATGGTTGGGTGTATGTCTCATTTGTTTTGCTGGAGTGGAGTAGTATAATGATTTCTTGATACAGATATCTATTATGCCATACCCTAAGCTATTGGTTTGCTAATCAATTTGAAAACTTGATTCATTTTAGTTCCAATTTCCTTAGGACACTCTACTTGTGTAGATGCAGCATCTATGATGGATGGTACTGGAATTAATCCTGGAAATAGGGAACACCCAGCTTCTGTTATGCATCCTCCAACAAAACGTCATAAATTGTATGCTTTCTTGGTTCATCTGATGTGCGCACACATGTTGTAGTATGGTTATTTTGATATCATTTTCATTCATTTTGCGGCTTAGATAATATATTGATGTTTGGAGCGCTCTTGTGATTTTGTGTGCATCTGGTACCTGAAAACAATCATAAATTCATGATTAATAGATAATAAATTGGAACTCCTCATCTCTGTATAGTACCTTCATCCCCCTCCCCCAATGAAGTACCACTATCAAATGGAAAACTAGATTCAAACCGTTGAGATAATTAGTTGTTGATCTATTTATTAAGTGTTTTAGGCTTGGGTTCAGTGTGAATGCTTGCCATAATACAGCTTCCTTTTATTGAAAAAGTTGAACTATAATTGTTGATGTTAGCACATATATTTGATTAAAATATTTGTTTGGAATTTAATATTTATTATCATTTCTTGTAGTTTTAATCATCTCTCTAAACATTATATCCAATATGTCATGTTTATTGCAGGAGAGCAAACACACACCTACCTGTACTAGAAAGCCCTGGAACAGAATCTGGAGAGACCAAAACTGCGAGTTTCACAGATGGAATTACTTGTAAGTGTGCTATTATACGTCCTGAAATAATTTGTTCTTGGAGGACATACCATGATGAGTTTTCTCCAATAGATGTTTGTTTATGAACTGTCACTTGAAAAAATAATTGGTTTGCTTTATGTGCAAACGCAATTATTAATTTTGTTCCATGATATTTCATTGTTATAAGTGAACTAGAACATGGGCATGTACATTCTAAAAACATCCTAGTGTGCAAGCATAGGCATGTTGAATGCCAAAACATGAATGCTAAAATTTCTCTTTGCAAATTTACAATTAGAAAATTATTGAGATAACTTTATCTAGGTCTGCATTCATAAATTTAAAATTGTAACAAGCTATTGTTCATCTCCGTGTATGCTCAAATTTAGAATTATTCAATAATAAATGTATCCATCAAATAAGAAAATTGTGTGCAATTCTTCATACCTTTAAATTTCTAAATAGCTGGACACTGAAGGATGTCTAACTTCTTTTGAGAAACTACTTGTTTCTCATAATATTCTTATGCCACCAAAGGCCTCCTGTGGTGGCTGTACAGAGCAAATGACTTCTAGTCTTGCAGGGTTTTTTTTTTTTTAATATTCTTTTCTATATATAAAGACTTTAATGTAATTGGTCCTTTTTTATTTGTCATTGCCTTGTTTAATTTTATATGTAAGTATGCTCGGTGAAGACTTGGTTTTGTAATGTTTAGTCTGACATTAATGACAGTGTACTGTTAGCTCTTTGGCGATGGGGACCTGGTCATGGAATGAATAACTTAATTAATTTTCTGGATTCCATTTAGGCAAGGATTTGCTTGAAAGAACTACTTCAGAACATGGAGATCCTAACCAAAAAATCCTTGGGCAGGTCCTTGTACAACATCAGAACTTACCGAAGAATGGTATTAATAAATTATATAATTTACGTCATAAAAGTCATTAACTTTTGGCAACTGGTAAAATGGAAGCCCTTTCGTCAAATGTTTTGTCTTTTAATTTTTCAGTTATGAGTGTTTCTAATACAACTTGGTGTTTGTACAACACATTTTTTTGTTAAATTAGAATTTCCTGCACCCCTTGCTACAAAGATATTTTATTCACAAAAGACCAATAGACTGCGTGCCAGAATTCGCCATCTTTACTTCCAGAACTTGGATGAGCAATTGTGTACTGATGTGTGTCCAAAGACATCACATGCTGAGATGGTTGCATTCCAAGAATCATCTCTTAGGTGCCCTTCATTTGATCAAATGGACAATGTACACGAGGTATACATTCTTTACTTTTATTTTAAGGCAGATAATTTAAATTAGCTCAAGTCATGTGACCAAAGTTATGCGGTTTGAATGTAATTCAATCTTTAGATGTACACATCAGACTGACAATTTAATATGTTGTGAGTTCTTTATTTCGGGTAATCTTTTTAAATCTTTGATTATTAGAACTAAAAGAAAAGGAACTAGAAAATACTGAGAAATTAGGCTCTATAATCTACTGGTAGGCTATGACTTTCTGTCTGTAGGCTAAAGTTGGAAATACCTTCCATCACGCATGCAACCCGAATTCCCACCAAGAAAAGCTTAGTTTCATGGTAATGAATCTAACTGAGTATTTATTTCTTTGTTTTTGAATAATAGAGCCGATCGCCTGCTAAAAAATCTGATCATATTCTTCCAAAGAGCTCAGAAATTTGCTTACTAAAAGCAGGAGGCCTTCCTAGTAGTGGTTTGTCAAATCAGTTTCTTCTTGATAATGTTTCAAGGTCTTCAGCCACAAATGTTGGTTTGACCAGAAGCAACTTTCTTCCGACATCATATTCATTTGCTAGCAACACAGGTAATCTAATGTTACTGAATTGTCTTTTTATTTTTATAGTGTATGCTAAATTAAGAAAATTAAGTTATCATCAAATGCATGTCTCTAGCTATATGACTGCTTGTAGATCCACAGCCTTTTCGTGCTGTGATGAGTAGGCTTGAGGTGAAAGCTATGACATGCAGCTGACAATTTTGCAGTGATACTTGCATGATAAGCTGTAGCGTATTTAACCTGTAGAAAAATTATCAGAACAAGTTGTTAATGAGTGTTATTTGTTCTCTTTTATATAGGAAAGTCACTGGGAACAATGCAGCAACCAAATGGGAGTGTTCCTGTTATTTAGTAATCTTGGTGGAATTTTTTTGGGTTGGTAAAGGTACAGGTAACCAATACTTGAGTTTAGGATTTAGCTCCTTTTTTGAAGCTGGTAAAGTAAAATTACTCAAATTGTGTATCCTGTCGTCTGCTTTGTACATGAAAACTTCTGTTACAGTAAATGGATGGAAATGAAGAAGTTGTTAGTTCTATATACCAGTATCCTCAACTTGTTACTTTAATCTTTTGTTACCTATACTCAACTTATTTCATATAAGTCGGGCGACTCTGCACATTGCATGCTTGAGATTACAAGGTTTCTCGGTAAAGAACATATTTATGAATAGACATGAAGTTAAGATGTTATCAGCTGTTAATAAATATTTTTGTCTGTCAGGAAAAGATAGTTTTGTGCTGTTTAACAATATGATCAAATGATAATCAGACTAAAACCTCTGTATGTCTAGTTTTTCCTGAAAGCATTATTGTAAACATTATTTCGTTAGATAATTTGCTATTATTTATCCAGGATCACAGTTGCAGAATTGCTAAATGTGTAAGTTTATTACAATTTTTGTATTTGTTTTAGCTAGGATTCTGAAAATTATATCCTGAAGTCAATAGCCAATCAAAATATCTTTTTCGGTTTGTTAATAGTCCATTCCATGTTTGGTCAGGGCAGATATCAGGTATGGATCGTGGATAATAATTGTCGTATCTAGGAGTAGATTAACCATCAGTCACGGCCTGTATTTCCGTATTTCCTGTTTGAACCTGCAGGGTTCCCTCCTCTCAATATGGTACTAAGAAGAAATTGGGAATAATAGTGTATATATTTGAAAATTCACTTATGTATATTTTGAATTGAGAAATTATAAATAACTTAGGAGGAAAAAGGTAAGATTTTTTAAAAAGGAGCCCACGTGTTTTTCGCGCTAAGCACATATAGGAACAGTAGTACTTGTGTTTTATTGTCAGTCAGCGAGTACAATATTAATATCAATGACACGTTGTTCTTTGTGCAATTTCATGCTTGAAATTGAAGCACATTCATGAATGCTTTGTATGAATGAATATTCACCACAATCTCCTTACCTATGGAAGGTTCGATTGTAGTGGAGAATCTGGTGCTCCAACATAAAATGTATTTCATTCGAACTAGTTTTTGTGCTGCAATTGGTAAATTGGCAATAAGAAATATAATTTAATTTTGTGTTAATGGCAGAAGGCATGGACTGCTTTTTGTCTCTTGTGATGGGAATTGTCTACACTTGATTAATATCTTTTAATATCTAAAAAGCAGATTCTCCCTTTATGCCAAATGAGCAACTGTACGTTATTATATTTGGTTAGAATAGATGACATCATACCACGTGCTGTCACTGCAACTAGGCCAAATGCTTTCTTGAAAAAATTCAAGATACTTCATTTTAATTTGACTTTCCTGAAAAAAGGTTTTATTTATTTTAGATTATTATAAATTAATTTATTATAAGCATATATCTTTAATAATTATTTTATTTTTTTAATTCAATATATTTTTCTTCGTTGTTATAATTGTTTCAAGCAGTATTAGGATAATGAAGAGTTGAAATATCATGTAAGAAATGATTATACGAAAGAGGATTACATTATTATTTTATAAAATTAAATAGTATTTTCACAAAAAAAGGTATGCAGGAGTTGGTGCGCCACTTTCTTTCTTTTCCAGTAGAGTTCGTTTCATTTCACCAACTATTCCCTTTTCTCTACCCCTCTCCCTGTATCTGTAATCTGTTTTTTATGGGTGTAATAAAAATAAGTGTCAATATTAAATTGTTATGAAGGATTGAAATAGAAATATGAATTTGATTTTTTCAAACTTTTATGATACGATACTTTAATTATGTTTTATATTTTTATGATTCAGATTTTTTTTTAAAACAAATGACACAAAATGGTTTTTTAACTTTTAAATTGTACAAGTATCTAAGTTTTGAAATATATTTTACTCTTAAATATAGAATAAAACAACAGAAGTTTATAATTTTAATAGAATATATTATTGTAATAATGATGTGCAAATATTACATTACACAATGTTGATTTATGAGATGTAGACGTTGATTAAATAATTAAAGAAACAGTTTTGGATAATAACTATTAAATATTAGTTTAATTTAATTTGATGTATAAATTTATAAGATATAAAAGACATGTGAACTGAAATATTCTATTTTTAAGAATAAAATTCATATTTGTTATTATTAAAATAATATAAAATTAAAGTTATGTTACTGAAAAAATCATTCTGAGCGGAGTATGAATTTACAGAAACATAATAAAAGAATGAAAATACTAAACCTTAACAAAACAAAACAAATTTCGTGCCAAGATAGAACTAATATGCATATTATTATTATTTTAAATAAAATCATATACTTTTAAATATACTAGTTTTTCTATGATTTTACTTTTAATATTATGAACCTATTGTCTATTATATACATAATTGTTGTGTGGTAATTGTCTTAAATGTGTTTGGTTATTATTATGATGTAATATGATCTGTTTTAGAGTCAGCGCATTAGTCTTTTCCTCCAACGCATTACTGTTGCTCCATTTTTTCCTCTCATACCATATTGTTGGGTTGATATAATTTGAATCGATTTGGCAGAGTTGAGAGTAATGGTAGATAGTGCTACTATCACTCACTTATAATCTCTTTTTTGTTCGCATAAAACTTTTGCCTTCTTCTTCTTCTTTCATTTTTGTACTTTTCATTTCCCTTGCTCTTAACTTAATTATGCTCACAATTCACTCTTCAAACACCAACCATGGATTAGTACATATTTATTTACCTCACCCTCCTCAATTTCTCACAATCTATTTTTAACTTCTACCAAGATACATAAATAACATTGCCTCATCCTTTCACTAACCTACAAAACTTAAAATACACAACAATTCAACAAAATTTGAATTTGCCTACACGCCACTTCCCTGTCAATATCTTCTCCCACAACGTCAAAATTTCATCCATTTGCTCTCATCTCATTTAGCTAACGTCACTTTTATTCTTCATAGTTTTAATTCTCTCTTTTTCTCCAACACTCTCAACAATTTTCAAGAATGAAATATCTTCTTAAACATGTCAAACAAATAATACCTTTTGTTCTGTTTACATGTCATCTAATAAAAAGATAAAAGTGTGCACTATTTGGTCTATTTTGTTTTTTTTTTTATTAAATAATACTTTAAATCAAATAAAAAAACAACATATGATTTGTTTCTAACTTAATATAAAATTTTAAACTTGATTTAAGTTTTTCAAAAGGAAAAATATATTTTTAAGATCTTAAAAAATGGAATATCTTATTTTATTTATATAAAACATATAATGTAGTTTTTTTTTGTCGGAAATTAGATAACAAAATTCTTGTTTTTTCTTTCTATAATTTTGTCATGTTCTCTTCTTTTTTACTCTGTCTGGTCTCAAGCGCATCACCGCCTTTTGAATTGAAAAAAAAAATGAAAATTATGAAACAATTTCTACTTTTTCGAAACTTGACTTTACCATTGAAATAAATCATAAATCTTAATTGATATTAAAATATTAAATTTCCCCAAACATAACCATATGACTAAACAGAAAGCAACTATTTTGATAATTTGGAAGAAACTATAACTTACTCTTTCTCAATGCTTCACACTTTCCTAGTTAGCAAACTAATGGAAGTAGTTGATAGAACGAACCCTAATAATGCACTGAAAACCATTGTTTTTGCGTATAGATATTAGTATGGTGGGGTATGATGACTTCAACCTAATGCTAAGTTGCGGTGGGAATGCTAAGAACAGCGCCACTAACTTATCCACCCTATTTGGATAAGGACTTAAATGTTTTTTTTTTCTTTTCTTTTCTTATGCACTCGTTTTCTCAATTCCACACTAATAACATCACGGACATTAAGCTTCTCAGGGCATTGCTTTATTATACTCTTCTTGTCATTTTACAAGTCTAAGTTTGGTAAAAGGGGAAGAATGTACTAAAACATTGAATGTTACTACAATCACTAACAACCATGTATGTTGACGTATTTGTCATGATGAGATACTCTAAACAAATAGGACCAAAGAGATTATGATTTCTAAAAACAAACTAAGTAGGTTTAAAGAAATTCTACCAAAAAAACTTGTAATTTTTTTCATAACTACAACAATATATTCTTATTCTCTTGATTCTTTAAAAAAAAACAAAAAAAATCATATTACCGTTTTCTAAATTTATGAATCTCAAACGATAAACTAGATTAGGTTATGCGAATTGATTTCTCAGTTTATCTTAAAATTAGTAAAACCACATGATCATTTTAATTTATAAATTCATTTTATTTCATTTTATCTAATTTATTAATCTGACGAGTTAAGGATGGAAGAAGACAAACTAATTTATTTTTAAAAAATATTTATATATTAAAATTCAAATAAAATATTATAATTACAAATATTATATTCTTTTATATTATATTGTTAAAATATGTAAATATGTTATAATATTATAATTTAAATTATAAATATTAATCAATTAAATTTAAATTATTAATTATAATTTATAATTGGATATTTAAAAAAATAGTAATTTTTCAATTATCTAATAAAAAGTATAAGTAATAAATAAAAATTTAAAATTTATTTATATAATTAAAGGTGTATTTTTTTTAAATGTATTTAAATAAATTATATTAGTGGGCTATTCCGATAATCTATATAGGATATGTTGAAATCTATAATTCGTCCTAATTACAGTGAATCAGTTCGTTCAGTCATTCTTAATCTCGTCTTACTTAAGAATCGAGACAAAAAATAATTTATATATACCACTATAATTCTAAAACTATCATATGCATCAATTGATTGAAAAAGAATACACATGTATAAGTGTAACAAAAATATTTGATAAAAAATATATATATATATATATATATATATATATATATATATTAAAAAAATATGATGCATGGTACTTGAACTATTAAACAAAGTTGA